GTCAGTACAATCCTTATTTTCTTCCTTAATGAATATATAACGTAAAAATGAATAAATAAACAAATATGTTACGTGTTTGATCTGGAGAGAGAATGGCGCAATTTTACACTCCACTGGGGCCGCCTTGTATATTTCGCAATAGACTTAGCTTTATACAAAAAGGTGATGGGTGAAGCAACCCCAGTTATAACGGAGGTGATGATAGTAATAGCATTAAGAGCAGTGTTAATAGGTATAATTATTTTATTTCTATTGTTTTTATTACTTTTTATACTGCTGCTACTACTAATGATAATATCAATACCATTAGTAGTATTATAGTTATTGTTATTACTGTTATTATTATTATTATCATTATCATTATTATTTCTATTATTATTATTATTATTATTATTATCATTATTATTATTACTATTATCATTATTATTATTACTATTTCTTATTATCAGTATTACTATTATTATGATTATTGTATTATTTTTGCTGACACTGTTGTTACTCTAATTATCATCATGATTATCATTACTGTCTATACAAAACTGCTGAAGGTAGGAAATAATATGTTATAAACCAATTCCGAAAAAATAATATGAGAGAACACCCCAAAACACACACACACACACACACACACACACACACACACACACACACACACACACACACACACACACACACACACCCCGGAACGAAAGCAAGATAAGGCGCAGGTCGTCCTCTGCTCGAGCTAGCTTCCGGTGGCGTCTTGGAGAGGCTCGTTGATAAGGACGATCCTCTCCAGGAATGCCCGTGGAATGTTGCAAGGAGCCGATCATTTGCACGTTGCCTTTGTCTGTTGCGGCGTCGATGGGGATGATTAGTTGCCGACGTGTTCACCTCTTCGTTTCTTTTCTTATGTTTCTTTTTCTCTGTTCCTATTTCTTTTTAATTATTGTTGTTTCTTTCTTCTTCTTCTTCTTCTGATTCTTCTTTTTCTTCTTTTCTTCAGTTGTCTAATCATTGTTGTTCTTTTTCTTGTTTTTCTTCATTTTCTTATTTGTCTTCGTCTTGTTCTTGTTCTTGTTCTTGTTCTTGTTCTTATTTGTCTGCTTCTTCTTCTTCTTCTACTTCTTCTTCTACTTCTTCTACTTGTCCTGTTTCTTTTTCTTTTTCTCCCCTTATTCGTTGCAGCCGAATTCCGCCTCTTCTTGCTTTATTTAGTTGCCTCAGAGAACGCCTTGCATCATCAGGAGAGGAAACGGAATGTCAAGAAGTTGATATAAATATTATTTCCGAGATGAGCGTCCAGGCGTTGCTAGATGAGTCACTCGAAAAATGTGTGTGTATGTGTTTGTGTATGTGTGTGTGTGTGTGAGTTTGTGTGTGTGTTTGTGTTTGTGTTTGTGTGTTTTGGGGTGTTATCTCATTATTTTTTTCCTCATTGTTTTCTCACATATGCTTTGACTCGGCCGCCTTTCCATCACTACATGCCCATCGTCTAACTCGAATCCCGTGAAATCACCGTGTGCTCTTAAGGCAAAAGTTAAACTCAAACCTAGCGAAGATAATCCAATAGTCGTGCTTCTCAGTGCCTCACTGGAAACTCCTGAACCGCTGGAAAGCTTCAAGTGAAACGTAGAGCATGAAAATCGACTCGAAAAGTGGGTTTAAGGCGGGAGAAACGGCTCCTTTCGAGGGTCGGCGGGGCGTGGCGTGAACGAGTAGCTCCAAATGTTTCGGACAAGTTAGCTACATGTGTGTGCGAATTACTGTTTCTATGTGTACTTGTTTGTGTGTGTATATGAGTTTATGTATGTATTTTTGAGTCTGTCTGCATTTTCTCCCCGTAATAATTTAACATTTTGCGCTACGTTGTCTGCATATTAATATCTGCATTTCGGCCTATGTGTAACTGAAAATGGGGTTTTTGCCCGCAGAGTTTAAAATGTATATCCGGCAGTTCCGTGTTGGTTGTCTGGCGTCTATTGTTACCAAGGCGTGCCTGATGCCTTTACATAAGAGGTCTAGTGTATATAATTCTTTAGTAGTCAAAGCTTTATAGTATACAGCTAATGTAATGGTATCGACACAGAAGGATAGTGATATGAATGCAAATATAGGAAAATTGAAATGAAGAAAAAGGAAAATAAAAGAAAGATGGAAGATAAGTTCAGACAAAGGACGACATGAAAGAAGTAATCGATGAGAGAGAGAGAGAGAGAGGGGGGGAGAGACAAAGAGAGAAGCTGATAGAAGAGGAAAGAAAGCCTGGAAAAGAAAGAGGAAAAGAAAAGAGAGAGAGAAGACAAAATAGATATATCATAATCATGATGTCATATCACTCTTCAACCAAATTCATCTAGCCTCGTTTTGTATAAACACAAGTTTCATTTACATAACAATTGGACAGCTGAGTTATGTAAGATAACTCTAGTAAGAAAAAAAATCGAAACTGTACGTCCATTTTTTCAAACTCAAAGTCCACACTGAAATGGTCGCTTGTTAATTTCTAGTTTTTTTTTCCATTTCCATAAGACAGCATATACGAGGATACTATGTCAGAAGGATTTGCTAATCCTCGAGCTTAACTAGTCCAATTAGCAGTGTGGAAGGTATTTATGTATGTTAGTGTTACTGCTCCATTGTGACGCCCGTTTTCATGTGCGGAACTCGGAGGGGGAACTGATGATTGGGGTGCGTGCTCGCCTGTGTGTGTGTGTGGTGTGTGTGTGTGTGTGTGTGTGTGTGTGTTGTGTGTGTGTGTGTGTTGTGTGTGTGTGTGTTTTCGGGTGTTATCTCATTATTTTTTTCCTCATTGTTTTCTCACATATGCTTTGACTCGGCCGCCTTTCCATCACTACATGCCCATCGTCTAACTCGAATCCCGTGAAATCACCGTGTGCTCTTAAGGCAAAAGTTAAACTCAAACCTAGCGAAGATAATCCAATAGTCGTGCTTCTCAGTGCCTCACTGGAAACTCCGGAACCGCTGGAAAGCTTCAAGTGAAACGTAGAGCATGAAAATCGACTCGAAAAGTGGGTTTAAGGCGGGAGAAACTGCTCCTTTCGAGGTCGGCGGGGCGTGGCGTGAACGAGTAGCTCCAAATGTTTCGGACAAGTTAGCTACATGTGTGTGCGAATTACTGTTTCTATGTGTACTTGTTTGTGTGTATATGTGAGTTTATGTATGTATTTTTGAGTCTGTCTGCATTTCTCCCCGTAATAATTTAGCATTTTGGCGCTACGTTGTCTGCATATTAATATCTGCATTTCGGCCTACGTGTAACTGAAAATGGGGTTTTTGCCCGCAGAGTTTAAAATGTATATCCGGCAGTTCCGTGTTGGTTGTCTGGCGTCTATTGTTACCAAGGCGTGCCTGATGCCTTTACATAAGAGGTCTAGTGTATATAATTCTTTAGTAGTCAAACCTTTATAGTATACAGCTAATGTAATGGTATCGACACAGAAGGATAGTGATATGAATGCAAATATAGGAAAATTAGAATAAAGAAAAAGGAAAATAAAAGAAAGATGGAAGATAAGTTCAGACAAAGGACGACATGAAAGAACTAATCGATGAGAAAGAGAGAGAGAGAGGGAGAGACAAAGAGAGAAGCTGATAGAAGAAGAAAGAAAGCCTGGAAAAGAAAGAGGAAAAGAAAAGAGAGAAGACAAAATAGATATATCATAATCATGATGTCATATCACTCTTTTCAACCAAATTCATCTAGCCTCGTTTTGTATAAACACAAGTTTCATTTGCATAACAATTGAACAGCTGAGTTATGTAAGATAACTCTAGTAAGAAAAAAATCGAAACTGTACGTCCATTTTTTCAAACTCAAAGTCCACACTGAAATGGTCGCTTGTTAATTTCTAGTTTTTTTTTCCATTTCCATAAGACAGCATATACGAGGATACTATGTCAGAAGGATTTGCTAATCCTCGAGCTTAACTAGTCCAATTAGCAGTGTGGAAGGTATTTATGTATGTTAGTGTTACTGCTCCATTGTGACGCCCGTTTTCATGTGCGGAACTCGGAGGGGGAACTGATGATTGGGGTGCGTGCTCGCCTGTGTGTGTGTGTGTGTGTGTGTGTGTGTGTTTTCGGGTGTTATCTCATATGTGTGTGTGTGTGTGTGCTCGCGCGTGATTCTGTCTTTCAAATTTGTATTCGTGCCTGAATGAAGTGGAAAATGGAAAGATAAATAGGAAGGGAAACAACACAGCTGTATGTCTCCCTACAGACACCGACAGTCTGCCGTGTCGTGTGTCTGTTTACCCTATTTCGTTGTTATGAAAAGTGTATCCAGACAGATAGTGATAAGTCCGAAAAAAACGCTTTTTTGAGAATACTAAGGGCTTTAAGGGGAGGCTGCCCAGGGGATCGTCATGTTAATTACACAGTCAGGCAAGGGGGTCCCAGGACAGTTATTTGCATGATTAATATTTCTGACGACTTGAGGAAACACCAAGACACAATTTCACGTCGATGCGGGAGAATGTTCGGGAAGGAAGCCTCAGGAAGCCCCAGGAAGCCTCAGGAAGCCTCAGGAAGCTTCAGGATCATCGATTTCTCCTTTGTTCTGCAGGCGGATTAAATTGGTGCCATTGTTTGTAAACGCCGCTTGGTGACAATAAGACCGGTTGAGAATTTATAATTACGCGCGAGGCCTTTCATCTCGTTCTGTTTGTCCAGAGCGTTACTCTGCCTTTAACAAGCCTTGGGAAACGCAATAGACATGTGAGCTTTATTTCAAAACTCCAGGCAGCGGGATGGAGAGTTTGAATCTACTTAATCTCAGTAGAAAGGTTTCCGAAAACCTCTGTTCAGGGTACTATGTTCAGAAAAAAAAAAATATGCGTGTATACAGATGCGCGCGCGCACGTGTGTGTGTGTGCGTGTGTGCGTGTGTGTACACACATACACACACAAACACACACACACACACACACACACACACACACACACACAAACACACACACACACACGCACACACACACACACACACACACACACACACA